TAAATTCAACTGTGACAGTGTTTGCTATGACAAAAAATCTAAATAATTAAAAAATTTATTTTTTTCTTTAATGCAATAAAATAATCTGATATTAATTTAATTTTTGCAATAATTTCAAATTCGAATGAAAAGGCATTCACCCTCGATCCCCATTAAAAAAAAATTGCATCAACAAATACCAGCCCTGCACAAATTGAAATCTAAAAGAAAATTGCAGATTTGTCCCGTGTTCAGTTTTAGCGATGGGATTTCATAAGCTCAACTTGTAAAATAAAAAAAAATTAATTACGAGTAATTAAAAAAAAGATAAATTAATGAAATTAATTCTTTAAAAAATTGATGAAATACCTTGCATGGCAATAACCCCCCCCCCCTCCCATCTCATTTTTTTTCAAGCACACAATTAAAAAGCTGTTAGGAGGTATTTAGCTTTTGTCATATACAGAATTGCTTTAGTTTAATTTGGTTTTTAATATAACATATATGATTTTTATTGAGGCCAAGATAAAATTAAAGTTTGTTTGGAATTGCCTCCCGCCTCATTGAAATGCCCCCTCCTGAAAAAATTTTATTGACCAAAAGTAGGAAGATATTTTTTTTTTTATTTAATCATTTTTTTGGTGGGGGGGGGGGGGGGGGGGCATTACATGTATCACATACACCATACAAAACACTGAAATATTGTGTCAGATCTATGTAAATTAGGTTTTTTTTAGTTGATTGTAGATACTTTTTTTAAAAGTCAGAAAATGTAGTGACTGTTTACTGATCGAGATTATTATCAAAAATTTAAAATTTACCTTCAGTTAAAAAAAATATTTCCCTCCCTCCTGTGTCTGAAACCCATTAGGCAGGAATTCCAAACAAACATTTTTTTTAAGGATGGCCTGACAGATGGTTTATTAATAATTTTCATAAACATCTGATTTTAATCAGATTGATAATATGCCTATACTATAAATTAGTTATATATTAATTAGAATCATGTCATTATTTATGCTTTGGGTGTTTTAAAGTTATTTTTATAATACATATTCATGCCCTTTTATTAAATAAATAAACTCATACAAAATATGTGCAACTTTCAATGTATGTGATAAATATTTCATTGGTATACTTTCCTAGTGCTTCTTATTGCAATGTATATTTCTTCATCACAACCTTATTATCCCACCCTTAGCGCTGAAGTCCATTTGATACTTACTTTGTTTTTAAACACGTTTTTCAACGATGCAGCTCTTGTTGTCACATAGGCAGGAATTTCATAGGATGCAATCCATTAAGTTTATCACATCTATACATAAACATGTATATTTCTCAGACACAGTAAAGCCTGAACAATCATTTAACTATGGGTAATGTTAAATACTTCACAGGTTGGATTAAAACCCCTGAAAATATCCAAAGCACACAGTATTTACCCCTCAAAGTCGCTTTCTGCTGTGTACTTTCACTTTCATTTTCATCGATTAAAGCAAAAGATTTCCGAAAAGGGAAATAACATTTGACAAAAATGTGTGTAAATTTAGAGATTTTTACAAACTTTACAATCAATTTATTTTCTTAAAGTAAATATTACCTCTCCAGTTTTTTCATATGTCCTTCATAATTGTATAAAGTGAAATTCAGAGCATCAGAATATTCCACCAGTGCCTGCGTTTTTTGTGTACATTGTAATGTTCAACCCCCCTTTTTTAAGGCAATTTTTTCTGTTATTTGGCATTTTACGGCAGGTCCAAAAAAATTTTTTCAAGTTTTTTGTGTAGAAAATACAAATTACAAATTATTTCAAAGGAAAATATAATAATAATCACCTTTATTTAATTAAATGTACATTAATGGGAAGAAATATCCTTTTAGGTATTTACCACCTATGTGCAAAAACAGGTAACCTGGTTGCCATGGAAACAAGACCAATTGATCACTTTTAATAATATTTTTGTAAATAGGGCTTATAATGTAATTATTTCACCAAGTTTCAGCAAAATCCGTGATTTTCAATTTCCAGCCCATTTTGATGCTTACAGAGAATGACTCTTAATACTTGAATATTTAACTTGATAAAGACGTTAATGGTAATCTAACAACCCAGCTATGTGATGACTTTAACTGTTCTTTCGTCAATTTCCATTACTAAAGCAGCAATATACCTTCATCACCTGCATACGGAGTGTATATACCTCAGTTGATTCGACACGCAAGAGCATGCATGCTCTACGTATGAACAATTTCTAAAACGAGGTTACCGTAAATTATTGACAAGCAAGTTGATGAAACAAGAATATAAACAGTCTCGTTTAAAGTCATCATTTCCTAAGTTCTATGGTCGACACAATGACCTTGTCAGCAAAAGCAGCTTATCATTGAGTCAAATACTGACTGACTTTTTTTTTCACACTAATTGTTAGACCATTATTAGTACACTGAATTGACGACAGATTTTTCCGTAATTTCCTGATCATGACTAGGAGCACACGGCGGGGTTGACCGGTAAGCAGGGGATGCTCACTTCTCCATGGAATCTGATCCTACCTCTGATATTTCGGAGGTGTGTGTTTGCTCTGCTCCTATTTTGTATTGTTTTATGGACTTTGGGATTGAATGATTTTCGGTATATCAAAATCCTTTTTCATACACGTACATGTATATAAGCGAATACTTTTATTTTCTTTGTACTTAACTCTAACTTTCTATATGACATAAATGAACAAATATTTATCTGAACTCCCAACGTTTGCCTATTATTTTCCTATTGATCTTTTGTATAATAAGGTTTCTTTATTATGCCTCGTGATAAATCTATCTACTGATTCACAATAATTGAATAATGTGAACTTTCACAAAAAATGAATGCTTGCTTACCTATATCAAGTATAACACTCCTGTGATCCGTAAATGTCCCAAGGGATATTTTACCCATGTCTAACTGAATTTGTCCTAGTGGTTATGGAGAGGAATTGAAAAGTGTAAAAAAAAAAAAAATCAGACAAACGCTCTTCAAAAAAAGGGTTCATTTTAGCTTTGACTAACTTGAGATAAATGTTTTTCCTAAGCTTTGTGATTATGTGTATATATTTCTTACATTATATATAATTTATGGAATGTATTTGATTGGTTGATTTAAGTACAGTTCAGGAATTTTTGGGTTTGAAAATAGAAAAGGGGTAACAAAATAACCTAATAACAGGATAAGTATTTAAAAGACAATTATTCTAACCATCTCGGATCGAGTTTCTGTGAAAATATTGCTATAATTCGATTTGTATCGCGTCACACATAGGTTTTCATATTCCCACCACAGGTTTGCAACTTTCAACATACATGTAATAACAATAAGTTAAGATGGAGTGCTATGTATAGAATATATACATAATTTACTGCATCTTTATGAAAGACTTTTATATTGGTTCAATCAGGTATAGACATTCATCACGCTAAATATTAGATATATCTGTTTTAACTTAAATACAAAATATTCAACCCTCAAAAAATGCAAGCTACTGAATAAAAGCTATTTTTGTAATGATTACAATATTCAAGCTCAAACTCCCATAAAACGATATAGAATAACAGCAGAGCACACATGGTCCTCTAAAACATCAGAGGTGGTATCAGGTCCCATGGAGGAGTGCTTATCTGAGTCACCTGATCCCACCTTTTATGTTTCGGAAGTCCGTGTTTGCTCTACACCTATTTTGTATTGTTTTATGGACTCTGAGATTGAATACTGTTCGTTATCTCCATTTCCTTCTCAAATCCGCCGTGTGTTCATTGTTATGATTTGGATATAATGGAAAAATCCGCCGTCAATTCAGTGTGAAAATAATGGGCTTACAATTAATATGAGAAACATCAATTATCAGTTGACTCAATGATAAATTGTATTTTCTGACAAAGTTTTTGTATCGACCATATGCTTTTTTCTGTGTTTCATCAACTTCTTTGTCAATAATTTATTCCGTTTTAGAAATTGTACATACACAGAGCATGTCCAAGATTGTGTATTGAATCAACTCGGAATGCATGTGACGAAGTTATATTGCTGCATGATTAAGGGAAGTTGACGATTGAAAGGTTTACCCTATTATAGTCGGTTGTTTTTCCCAAAACGAGATTTTTAATTTTAATACCACCTACCTTCCTCCATCCTTTACAATTTTGCTAGTGGGAAATGTTTGCAATTGAAAAACATAAAGATTGTTTTGAAAACATAAACCATATAGAATCAATGCCCTTATTTTTCTCTGCGATTCAGAACTTATTTGAAGTAGTTTTTATTTTACTCTAACACTTCTTAACATTCAATTGGCTCTTCTTTTTGTTCGCCATTTTCTTGTTAAATAAACTTTGTAACAATTAAAGATAACAATAACCGGAATAAGAATTAAGTTGCAATTCTACATATCTAAATTGAAATTATTCATATTAATTTTATCTTATCCCAGCTTTTAATGAATATTAATTACTGTAAATAATAATACGTTACACATGTTTTTGTTTCACTCCTTGACATGTATCATGAAAATAATGAAATATTCAGTCCTCAATTGCTCTGCTCCTATTTTGTATTGTTTAGTGGCCTTTTGAGCTTGAATTCTGTTCGTTATCTCTTTATATTTTATAATAAAATGAATCACCAGTCAAATACGGATGAAATTTTAATAGTGATCTGACCCTCGCGACTTATTAAATCCCTTGATCAATCTTTCAAACATTTTAAAGTCTCTTGAACATTGAGAGATCGAGAGTTTCCTGTATAAGTTAGGAACTTTGAAATGGATTCCTTACAATTTTAGCTATCATAAAGTGTAAGAATGATCAAAATATTTCCAATCAAAGATATTCTTTAAGTTTACAAAATTTACAAATTTTGATGTAATGTCGAGTCGTATGGACCGTTTTTGACTTCTTTAAAATGGTGCATGAAAACTGGAATAAAAAAAATCAAATGAAAGAATGAAATGCTTTCTGTTTATTCTTTATTTCATTCAATAAAGCATCTATTTTGATGGTCTCGTCATCATCGCTGTTCTTTTTAGTGCTTCTCCACTAATCCAGTTATTCCAAGTGATGCATTCAGTTTTTCTTAATGGAGCCTTAACATAGTGGCCATTCAGGTTTGTCATAGCACAATCTTTAAACCACCACCCACTTTCCAATGGTACTGCACAGTTGTAGCCCTTTTTAGTGTCATTGTCTTGATCCTTTGTGGTAAATTTCATTCTATTGTGGAAATAAAGGCTGTCTCCTGAAAATAAAGTTAATGTGATAATACAAAAAAAAAAAAATCAAAAAAGCATCTTAATGATCTGTATTTTTGATTTGATTATTTAAATCTGGATCAGTATATTCAAAATATTTTCCAAAAGTAAAGATATATAGAACAAAAAAATGAATTTCTATAGAAAAACGTCTTATTTTACTAAATAGCAAGAAAAAAAAAACAACAAGAGAGAGAGAGAGAGAGAGAGAGAGAGAGAGAGAGAGAGAAGAAAATTACTTATCGAGCCACTGTATCCGGACAGACTTAGCTTGTATTTACTTCTTTCGTCTCCGACAGCAAAACTAGAATACTTAGCGAACCCTTTCTGACCATTAAATCTTTGGAGATCCACACGGAGTTCATGTTTTCCTTTCTTTGTGAGTAAGTGTAAAGCATCGTTTCCTGCGGAATAGTTATATATACATGTAAATATTAACAATTAAACTTCAACGTTCTCTTTTTGGCCACGTAGAGATCCTCATCGATTTTTTGAGGGGTCATAAAGGTTGTCATGATTAAATGAGAATATCTTATGATATGTACAAGGAAGGTTAGGATATATTTTGTTCAGTATGTATGCAAAAGATTTCAGCAAAGTCTTTTGCTGTCAAAGAATTAATCGTTTCACTTTGGTCCAGTGTGAATTTTTTCTCTTGGTAAATTTTAAGTATAAATTTTACACATTCTTCTGTAACTTGTTCCCTGAATTCTTTTAATTTATATTTTTTTTTCAAAAAACTTGTGGGTTGAGTATATTTGGTTTTTTTTGTTGTTTTTTTTTTTGTTAAACCATTTTGAAACTTTTTTTTGATTTCCACACCTTAATTTGTAAAATTTACATTCAATCTGTAAAATTGCATTCTATTCTTTATTTATTGTGTAATACGTAAGATCGGTGAAGGTAAGTACAGACTGAGATGCTACATGTACACGTAATAAGTAGCTGCATACAACTTTATATACAATGCATATCTTATTAATAAAGATATATTTTTTATCATTCACATCAACATTTTAACATGAATATTGACGAGAATCCAAAGCTACTTTATATCCAAAATACTATTGTAATAGGAAAACGTGAAATGAATTTTCTAATTTCTCTTTTCTGAAATGCCACTGAAATAAATCTGCCATTCAGTCGACTTAATGGTAACTGAAAGATCACGGAATAGTCACTGAAAAGGATCTTTTTACTGACCTTTCAGTGACCATTCAGTGGGCATTCAGTTACCATTCCGTCGACAAAATGGTGTAATTTCATCCTGTGCTACTTTTAATGTAGCATACTTATACCTGCATATTTCTCTAATTAAAAAAAAAGAGTGACGAAAACTAAAATAAATATGATAGCTATGTTTGTCTTCCTATCTTAAGTTCAGATTGATACTGCTCATGGGTCTATAAACTTAATATAAAAAGAAAAACTTTAAAAAACTCATTGTTATGAATTAAATTATAGTAATAAATGTAATCGCTTGATATTGCACATTACAGTGTCAATTTTAAAGACTAATAGTCAAGATATAGAAGTTTAAGTAGAAAATATGTAGATAAGATATAAATATACAGATTAGATTGTAAATATTTATTAACTAACGTTCACTGCATGAAGAGTAAATTTTACAGATTGAAGTATAAATTTTACACATTCTTCTGTAACTTGTTCCCTGAATTCTTTTAATTTATATTTAAATATTGTGAATCAGTCAAAAAACTTGTGGGTCAAAACGCTCACCTGAGTATATTTGGTCCATCGGTTCTTCGGTTTTTTTGTTGTTGATATAATCTTATGTCATATGTTAAACTTAGAAAACATATGTGGCCAATGATAATCTCGAATTTACACTACCTGAGAAAGATTACTCTTGCATGTGCTGCTATTGTCAAGAAGTTTTGCAATATTCTACTTGCACATTATGATATAAAACTTGTTTTTGTGGTGCAATCTTATCACCGCATTTATGCTACCTGAAGGTGTTACCATATAAATATGATTAGTCAAGGACATGCTGATCTTTAAAAAAAGAATTTTAAAGAATTTTACTGTATGTTCCAATGTAAAACTTTATTTACATACCCGCTATTCCCAGGGGTCATGAACTACGCTAACGTAAATTTACTCTTTGTCGGAAAGCTTGCATAAAAGTTTCATCTTTGGACCAAAGGTTCTTAATGAATCCGCAAAATATATTAAATATATCACTACTACTTAGAATTTCTTTTATTTGATTAAATTTGAAGTTTATGTGCCTAGAGATGTTTTGTACTTTGTACCAAGTTTAATTGGCATTTGCTCAGTGGTTCTTTAGAAACATATAATATGTGAAAAGCTTACGACGACAGCAACAACGACAGAAAACGGAAAAAAAAATTGATAGAAAAAACTCATTCGACTCAGGTGAGCTCAAAATCCTTTCCTATATTTGTTAGCAGCTTTAATAAGCTAAAGCTTTGAATAAATATCTTACCCATCCAAAAGTTTTTTACTGGATCTCCAAAGCCAGCTTTGTATTCATTCCAAGTCCTATAGAAATTTGTAGTTCCGTCCACTCTTTTTTGAAATATCTTTTAACAAAACCGATAGAAATAAACATGTAGTTAAAAGTTTCCCCATTTGATTAAATGAAGCAAATCATTAATTGAAAGAAGAGTAAATGAATTTTTAACTCCCTACCGTCCATCCCCCTCCTTCTGTTGTCATATCACAATACACTTTTTTCTTTTGTTTTCCATCTGGATAAATTGTATACACACCGTCTTTTCCTTTCTGACTAGGATTTTTCTTCAGTATTGCTGCACACTCTTTGTACTTGCCTTCATGAAATAAAAACAGTTTGAATTAATTCGTGAAATTATAAAGTGAATATCTTAAGTGTTTAAAAATACAGTAAAAATAGATTGAATAATATAAAAACATAAAAATATGTAAGAATTAAACTTACTTCAAGACAAGCCCTTTCGCTAATACTTCCTTTAAGGACAGATGATACGAACATTTTTTTTTTCTTTGGGGGAGACTTTAATATCATGTCACAGGTTTAGAAAAGTGGATAATTTTTTTTACTTTTCCCCCTAAGAACTGGAAAATGAAATAGACTTGGAAATATTAGTAATATTTCAAATAAGATAACAAATAGAGACAAATCAAACTCAGTAACTCTTTACAGGTGCACATAAACTTCAGAAAATGTTATCTTGGTGCTAAAAAAAGTAATAAAAAGCTGAAAAAAAATACCAAGTAAGGTGAATTTCATGAGAAAAAACAAAATAAAAAAAAATCAGCATTATCACATGGACTGATTGTTTTACCATTTCGCTTTTCCTAATAAAATTCACATGGCTTGGTATATATTTCGAAAATGTATATTACACTTTTGGCACCAAGCTAACATACTCTTAAATGTGTTTTATATGTAAACCTTTACATAGTTTGTTTGTCCATATTTGCAATTTTCATTGAAATATTACAGATATTTCCAAGTCTATTTCATTTTCTAGATCTTATGTTAAAATATTCTAAGAATTATCCTCCTTTCTAAACTTGTGATCTGATATTAAGTTTCCTCCAAAGAAAAAAAAATGTTTGTATTATCCATCCTTAATTAAAACTTTTGTTAAAGTTTTCTCTTGTCACGTGAAATTATTTCATTATTAAAAATGAGGTACCATCTTTGATTTTGCTCTGAAGTGATTTTGTCACATTATATGTAGAGACAACATCCACTTTAAAGGCAACAGGATACACAGTCTTAAGTCGTGATTTAATCAATTTCCAAGACCAGATCGAACTCTGTAAATGCTCATGAAGTGTATCTAAAATATTTGCATAGAATAGTATCAATCCACACGAAAATGCGTAACTACTTATTTAAGTAAGGAAGGAAAAATAGTTCAGAATGAAAACTTGTTTCATAATAGTATGAAGTCAATTACCAGATATAAATATTGTATATAACATACCTTTGATAGACTGTTCGACTTTATCCCCATTGGAACTAAATGAGAGAAGTACAACATACCAATTGATCAGGATTACTGATTTCATATTGTTTTTACTCGGTGAGATAGAAATTGCAATTTTATATATAATAATTTTGCAATACTATACCTCCATTATTTCGAAATATAATACCCTTTTCGTGCAGGAAAAGTATTCTTTCTCCGCAATCATTAAGCAACATATTCTCAATTGTATGAATAAAATTACGTTTCTCTTAGTTGTATTTCATTATACAAAGAAATATTAAGAAGAAATAATTTTACTATAACGCTCAGCTGAGTCACCTGCTGTTCGAAAGATTTTTTAGTATTGCTTAATTGTGTAAACCAGTTAAATATGAGGATCCCAAATTGTAGCGCTATATTACCCTTAGGGATTAAGCTGAAATTGAATCCACGTCATTGAGGCAATTTATAATCATTAGTTTTGCATTCTAAGAAAGAAATATACTTCAAAGATTACTTCCCCTTTCTGCAGCTCTAGCTCATCCTTATCTCTATCATTTTTGATGTCATTTAATTTGCATTTTCAAAAGAATTATTCAATTAAAATTATTGTCGCATATCTGCGGTGATTTTCATTGATCTTTCTGTGGTGATATATCCTATATCACATATGCGATAATACTATCCACGCCCCTTCATATATCACTGCAGGAGGCAGAAATCAGGTTATGAGCAAAAAAACTGATTTTATTTCAAAAGTTCAAAACTACAGAAAAATGAACATGTTTAGCTATTTCTTAACCTTTAACTAAATTAAAATACCCGGTACATGTATTTAACTCAGTTGAAAGTTCCCAGTCGCTCAAAAGATCAATCCATTTTGAAAGTTACGGTAAAATATCCAAACTTTATAGCGTTCAACTCCTTGATATTTGTTTATGTGATTTCATATTTGTCGAGTGCCTGTCTAAAAAATAAATCGTCAAAATCTTCCAACCCAGTTAAAAAGTCAAAGTCGAATTCACTAAAAACTTCCGACATGTTCGAGAGCTAGCTTGAAATAAATCTTAAGTTCGTGACACGCCTGAATATTCTTTTTATTGAATTTTGACACTCTCAATGAAATTTACCTCATCAGACATGCGACAAGTTGCTTACATCATAGATGCCTCGTACTATTGGTTAAATCGTTTTCATGGGGCGTGGAAATCTCGGGCGGTCCGCGCCCTCGATTTCCACGCCCCACGAAAACAAAATAATCAATACTACTCGGCTTCTGTGATGTAACCTATAATTAGTATATTTCCTTTGCCTTCCTGCACAAAACCCTATGCCATAATGCTATTTTAATTTTGAAAAAAAAAATATTATATCTAATATTAACAAGAGACAAAGTCTGGTAATGCTCTTGGTTATCATCTACACCACCATTATCACCATTATCATCATTATCACCATTATCATCAACTTATAGATATCCCAACTTTAAACCTAGAGAAAAAAGTCAGCATTTATTTGGATCCTTAAAATATACACTGAACCAAACTTTTAAGTGTTCACCTAACATGTTTTTCTTAATTTGAAAGGACAAATGCTTACAATAAATAATTTCTTTCATTCATGATTAATGACACCTATTTCAGTTCGATGTTGCGTATTTTTCAAGTAAGTATCTTGTCAGATTCTTAAGCAAAAGGTCAAAGAATGATGTCCCAAAAAATGAGAATTCACATAAAATAATCTCTATAGAGTAAGACTTCAACTCGCTCTAATTTTCCTCAATACACCCTTTTCTCATAGATACCATGTACCTCTCAATAGGGGATTGACCGATCTGGTGTCACACTCACTGAATGGATCTTTTTAAAACGTTTAAACTGTGTGGATGGGACAATGACATTCCTTATAAAATTCCCAAATAAGATTCAGGTCTGGGGATTTGCCAGAGCATCATCAAACAAATACCCTTTAATCAATATTCTTTGGCGTTTAGCATGTAAGTACACCGCTTTAAGAATGATTGATACTGTTTGCGATGATATTAGACTACCAAGAACACCAATTTCCTGTCATTTTCTTCCATTGAATTTGTTTATTTTAATGTTTTTGAAATTTTTTTTCAGGACAATGTAACAATCTTTGAACCTGGTTGTGACCACAAAATTTTATCCCAAGGCGAAGAAACAAATCACTTCCGATTAATTTTTGGCCAAAGCTTTCGAATTGTGTGAAGTTGGCGATGAAGCACATCCTATAGAAAACTGTTTTTAAATTGTTTTTATACTGGTTGTTAATTTTTTAAAGTAATAATTATCAATGACAAATAAACACTAAAATAAAAGTGTGCAAAACGTGGTGCAAGGATGATTCAGATATCAACGTTCCAACTGCTCTCCCTCCTTTTTCAATTTTGTCATTTTGCGAATGTTTTGTGTGTGTGAGAGAGTGTTAGAGGGTGGGTACGTGTGAATGAGGGTGTGATTGATTGATTGATTGATTGTATATTGTTTAACGTCCCTCTCGAGAATTTTTCACTCATATGGAGACGTCACCGATACCGTTGAAGGGCTTCAAATTTAGACTTTATATGGCACTCAGGGTCATTGAGCAGTGAGGGTTGTTTATCGTACCAACGCCTACCGTGACACGGGACCTACGTTTTTAAGGTCATATCCGAAAGACCCGTGACTTTCACTTCTAGTGCCGAGCGCTTGGCGAAGGAACAGTCACTACCTTTGTTTACGTCTTAGGTATGACACGGCGCCGAGAACGAGAATCGAACCCGGGCCTCCCGATCACGAAGCGAAAGCTCTACCACTAGGCTACCGTGACCGGTTAATGAGGGTATGTATGTGTGTGTGTGAGAGAGAGAGAGAGAGAGAGAGAGAGAGAGAGAGAGAGAGAGAGAGAGAGAGAGAGAGAGAGAGAGAGAGAGAGAGAGTGTGTGTGTGTTTTTTTGTTAAACCAGTTTTTAAATATGAATAATTGGTAAAAAGATGCTAATTACACAAAACACGGGCCGCAAAGTACAGCTTTATTGTTTTTAAGGTTCGTCACGGAACTTTAGTTTTCATCGGTGATAACTGATTTTCTTTCAACAATTGTTGAGAAGACTCTTTGGCTATTCTAATTTGAAAATATCATACCATTCTGTTTGAGGTTTTTAAATAAATACATTTATTAGAATGAACACTAGATTGAATCTTTTAATGTTACGAGTAATCAAAGTAAACATGCAGTAGAATTAAAACTACACTTATATTTACCAAAATTATACATATCACGGTATGTCATAATGATTAAAACAAAAATATTGACATAACAATCAGGTGAAACCTGAATAATTTTAAAAAAAGTCAATGTCACCACTTTCGCGAAGCGAGCTCAATAGACTAATGTCTTAGAAAACAGGAAAACTTGAATTACACATACTTCAGGAACTTTTTTGTGTGAAACCTTCCCGGATTTCCTTTGCTGCTAGGATTCCATACGACAATTGCGAATAAATAAATAAATAAAAACCAAAAAAAGGCTTTCAGTTTGAAGAACTTTTTAAAGAAACAAAAAAAAAACCTCTACAATGTATTTTGGTAAAAATTGCACTAGGTCTATCGTTTCAACCAGACGCTCGACTGTCTCCGTAACTCTTGAAGAGCTCCGTAATGTCGTGTGATGTCATAGCCTAGATGTTCCGTGAGTCTGGATGTTTGCAGCGACAAAACAACGATCCAGGAGTTTTACTAATGGTGCAACTGCACTCACCCCCAAAGGTCACACCATGTTATTGTCATGCTCATTCGTGGTATCTACTCTTGTAAGATTCACATGTAGATATCAATTTTGACCACCACTGCATTAGCTATCGTGTTAAGAAAGCCAATTTGTTTTCGTGCTCAGTGCTTTTTCTTGTGTTATGCAATGGAAATCGTTATTTTATAAAACGCTCTAAAGATTCAGAGCAGATTGAGGGCTTTCCTTACCTCCTTTTTAAAAGAGATGCCTATATAATTCGCCCTGCCAGTTATATTTCCTGTGTTCCATGTCATTAAAAAGTATTGTAAAGAGTCTCCTTACACAAGAATAGACGAAATATTTTGAGAGATATATATTATAGCACTCACAATTTGAGCAATTAAAGACACATATTTCATTTTAAAAAAGCCCAATACACGATTTTTACAAAATACATTCAAACTACTGACAAATAAGCTGATGTTTCAATAATTTTAAAAGCTCTGTTTAAAGTCAGAATTCCTAAGATATTCATGTACGGTCAGTATATTGTAAACGAATAATTTGATATCTTGCTTTATATCTATTATTAGAAAATTTCTTTAATATTTTTTTGTCTACGGAATATGTCGCAAACCTTATGAACACATAAGGCTCACAGACGAAACAACTGGTCAACAAGTGACTCCTACGCCTCATAACCTACAAATCCAATTTCTGTGTTTCGGTGATTTCTTGTGTTATTCTCGGCTACAATTCATCTTATTTATTGCGTTTATGATTAATTTGTAATTATGTTAGAGTAGTATTGTGTAACTAATATCGCACGTACATTGTCATGGTTCACTTATTAGAGTATGCGGTTCGTCACAGTTGAACTGAATGGCCCAAGTGACTAGTGCCAATTACCTATTTTAATTTAAAATTGATGCTGAAAAGTGAAATTGAAAAAAAAATCACATTAAACATGGATTTATATTTACAAATATTTATATAGGCTTATTGCCTATTGAAATAGATGAATAAATCGGGCTCGGTCTTCAAGGCCTGATAAAATCATGAATTAGTGCATTGCTGTCTGCGCCAAAGCCACAAGAATATGAAGCCCGCTTTTTAAAGTAAACTCATACAGTATGTTCTCACAAATAGACATACGTCTGATAAAGTGCTAAAATAAAAGACTAATCTGTTGAATACACGACAGTTTTCATAAAATATAAATTTATGAACGATAAAAATGCTTTATTTCTTACCAATCTTACAATTCCACTTTCTACAGAGATTGCCGAGCTTACGCAAGTTTTTATGAGAATATATGAGACTTTAAAAGTGTGACGTCACATCAAGAACACAACGTATTTGCGGACG